AGCCTTCCCTTGCTCTCATTTTCTCCCCACTCCACTCCAAAAAAGAGACAAAAATAATTTCATCCTCATATAAGTATCCATTGTTCTTAATCTGTAACTATCTAAGGGCTTTTATCAGATTGCACAGAATTTACAGTTGATTGGTACAGCTCTACTAGATTGGAAGCTTCTTCAAGGCAGGATTCATAATCATGTCCATTGTAAACCTTGCACTCAGTACATGTCGAGTGTTGGTTGAATTGATATTGCCTTTTGAATATAAAAAGGAAATAACACGTCAGGGTGGAGAGAGACGGAGAAGAGCTGTACCTAAACTGAGTTCCCACAGGATCGATGACTCCCTTCACAGATAGGAGGGTCTGTCACTTTCCACAGGTCCCAAGATCTCTGGCGCTGAGCAATAGTTGGTTTTCTCAGACAACTAGCATGATCACACAGCATCTCAAGTCCAGAATGCCGAGTACCAGGGTAGTCTGATTATCCCACATTATGCGTCCAGCAGAGCACCCAGGTCCTGACACACCCCCTGTGGGATGGTGAGAGCAAATGGAACCCACGCCTTCTCTTCTCTTGTTGACCCTGGTCTTTTAGATTTTTCTCCAGTAAATCCTACTCTTCCACCTAAGCCAAGTCTGAAATTTGTCCCAGGCCCTTAGGTCACCACCTAAGAGACCCACCTGGCATGTTAAACTAATGACCGTCTAGCATGACACAGGGTCTGGGAGTGGCCAGAGTAAAGGGGCAGAAGCGCCTGTTCCCAGCTGGCTGAGCTTGGTCCTCTCCTCATTGACGACTCTTGCTCTTCCCTCTCTGGATGGAATTCTTACGTGAGATAATAGAACGTCAGTATGGGAATTCTACTTTCAACGCGTGTGAGTTCCTACAGCAAAAGAGCTGTCTCGCTCATTTTTATAACTCTGGCACCTTGCCCAGTGGAGGTTTCTTTAGTGAATTTGTGTGATAAATGAGTAAAACAGTATAATTATCTTGGAATACGCTTGTCTTTTTCCACTTGGAAACTGTGGTATTCTATTTTCCAGTGGTACACTGAAAAGAATTGTGGTTTTAATTTCATACACTCCTGGTTTTAGATCATTTAGTAATGGAGTAAGACAGATCAATCTTGCTATAGTACACAGGGTGAATTAGATGTGGGAAGGCTTAAAGACATGAAACAAATCGGAGATTACCACATTACTGGATTTAATGATAAAATGAATAGAACAAGACTTATGTGAAGTCCTTTCCCCAAAAGTCTATTAATTGTCCTATAAGTTGTTTACCATTAAACCAGACTACTGTCATTACTTGTCTCTTTCCCACCAGACTTTACTCCTTGAAGGCAAGAACTCTGTCCTGTTCATTATTGTATCTCCAGGTCCTACTCCATGGTAGCCAGTGAATAAATATTTATTGAATGAATTAGTTTGAGTGACAGATAAAAACTGTGTAGATATTTGAAAATAATCCTCTTGGACTTTGAAGCTATGAAAGTGAATTAGCTGGAGATCAAATATCCAGCAAATGGTGGAGTCAAGATTTGAACCCTGATCTGTGCAACTTCAAAGCTCTATACCAGACTGCCTTTTTAAACTTAAAATTTGCTCTCAGAAATATTTTCATATATTTATATTTGATTTATTTCAAATTTATAACAGCTTACAATGTTATAGAAAGTGTTAGGCATGTAATTTAACTGGTTTCTTTTCCTATTTCAGGGAAATCTAAAACAAATAAAAGAACAAATAGAAGATCATAAAAAACAAATAGAGAAGTTGGAGGAGGATACAAAGACATCCATGTAGGTATAGTAAAAAAAAAAACCACTCAGCTTTCTTACCTCTCAAGTGTCTGGTTATTTCTGTCCATCAAATGAATGCTCCCACTGATACAAAGTTCTCACTCCTCGACTCTTTTCTTTGTTTCCTCCATTGCTTTACATTTCATTGTAGATTGTTAAAGATTATCCTTGACTATATAAAAAATGAAATTTTTAAATTTTGGAAATACAAATGTGTAACAGTAGTGAAACTTTAAGTCTAGTTTGGTATTGCTATTTTTTTTTTTTGTCTTTTTTGTGACCGGTAAGGGGATCGCAACCCTTGGCTTGGTGTCGCCCACACCGCGCTCAGCCAGTGAGCGCACTGGCCATCCCTATATAGGATCTGAACCCACAGCAGGAGCGCCGCTGCACACCCAAGCGTGGCATTCGCCTGAGTGTGCCACGGGGCCGGCCCTGGTATTGCTATTTTTAATGAATGTAGTGAGTTATATCATGAAAACTAATGCAAGCTTACTTCAGAAAGTACATGGAAAAATAGAATTAAATGATAATATGAATCTTTCTATGAACTTTTTGAAGAACCCTCATACAACCTAGGTTTTCTGCAACTAAGGGTTTCTTTTTAATTGGCATTTCTTATTATTAAGCTCATGAGGATGGTTCTCATGATAGTAATCTGTCGTTACTATTTCAGTGCACAGAAATACATATCTTTTTAATCAACAATGAATGATCAAAATTGTTTTGCCCTTATTTGGTGTAAGGTTTATTGTATTATATTTTTTTATCGTTTCAATATTAATAGAGCACTACTCCATTCCCTTGCAATGCCAGATAAGAGTACGTTGTATCTGGTAATTCCTAAAATTTGGTTTTGCTTTTTGCTATATAATTTGCTGTTGTTATTATGAAGGGATTGCTTGAAAGAGAAGAAAGAGCAAGAGGAAACCCTAGTGGATGAAATTGACAAAGCAAAATCAAGAATGTCTGAGGTTAATGAAGAATTGGATCTTATTGGAAGTGAATTGCAGAATGCTGGAATTGATAACCATAAGAGAAGATGTCAGCAAAAGAGAGCAGAGACTCCGGATCACCTTAAAAGACTTTACCCAGATTCTGTGGTAATTAGAATGAACTATTAAAACAAGGCTAAGCTTTCCTGTGTGGTGAAAACAGTATATTCTTTTTTTTTTTCTTTTTGTCTTTTTTCGTGACCGGTAACGGGATCGCAACCCTCGGTGTCGTGCCCATACCACGACCGGCAACGGGATCGCAACCCTCAGTGTCACGCCTGCACCGCGCTCAACCAGTGAGCGGACCAGTCTCTATATGGGATCTGAACCCTCGGCGGGAGTGCTGCCGCGCTCCCAAGTGCCTCACCCTACCGAGTGCACCACTGGGCCGGCCCCCAAAAAACAGTATATTCTTATTTGGAACTATAAATATACCATTATTAGGAAGCAAAACAATTTAGAAATCTTTAAGTTTTATGCTTGACAATTTATATTTAAAGTATAACAGTAAATAATTGGGGTAAAATGTAAATTACTTTTGGTAGTGTCGACAGATAAGTAATTACTGGGGAGAAGCATTGACATGAACACAGTACCCAAAAAGTGTGAGTTATTGTCAATATCCCCAAAGGAAACGGGTGCCATGAAGTAGTCTGAGCCCCCAGATACATTGACTCATATGCCATGTTCTTCATGGTTTTAATTTAAAAAAAAATACTTTTCCAGTGACATCATTGGCATATTTTTATTCTATACGCATCTAGCATTGCTTATGGATGTCATCAAGAAAATACAATATCACCTGTTACTTGGGGTGTCACCCTCATGGCATTATTTCCTTTGGGATCAGGGGGTGGGTATCTGACTTGCTTGTCACTTGCATCATTTTACACTGTGCAGTCATGTTATGATGGCCTGTTTTCAGCATTTGACACTGTTAACCACTTGACGTATTTTGAAACACCTGCCACTGGCCTCCATGGTACCACACTATCATGGTTTTCCTTGTACCTCTCTGGCCACCCATCTTCATCTCCTTTACAGTATCCTTTTTGACTTTCTGACTCTTACATGTGGTTTTGACATCTGGATAATGATGGAGGAGTAAAGCTGGGTCACAGAATCTTTTGTCCACAATTTCTAACAAAAGGACAAAAACCTAAACGTATCAGTTCAACAACCAGTCAAACTAATGTCATAAACTTCAGAAAATGGTCATAGTCCAGGATATTAAAAAAAATGAAGTGTAGCATTGCTTGTTTTTAACTCTGCCTAAGCCAAGCGATAAGTTGACTATTTCCTAAAATTCTCACTTAGTATACCTTAATCTAGCAAGAAGTAAAATTATCTATATCTTTTTGCTGTTCTAACTGGAGGGAATTCGACTGAAATACTGGTGAATCAGGAAAGGTGACTCTCTACTGCTCTCTGATGAAAATGAAGACTCTATAGCTCCTCATTAAATTGAGAGGCCATTTTGAAGCTCTTTCCAAAGTGGATTTGTCCTCCTCCCCCAAGATAGAAGAACCTTCATATAGGATATTAATTTAAAAAATCAGAAGAAAGAGCAGAACTCAGATATTCAAACAGAGGGTAATCTTACAAAGCCTTAGCTGAGATCTCACTACGTTGCCCTCCAACCCCTGAGGTGGTGGGAAGGTGGATAAAATAGGAAATACTTGTTCCATCAACTGTTGCTCAAAGGAGTTAGCCAACTCAGTTCTTTGGGAAAGGTAATCAAGGAAAAGTCTGTCTACAGCCATACCACCCTAACCATGCCCAATCTTGTCTGACACCGAAGGCAAGCAGGGTTGGGCCTGGTTAGTACTTGGATAGGAGAGCACCTGGAAGTACCTGGTACTGTAGGCTTTAAAAAAAAAGAAAATGAAAAGATTATCACAGCAAATGAAAATAAACAGAGATGCCCACATTAAACCTAAGCAAGATGAAAAGATTCACTATGGCAGCTACAGCTATAAGTATACATAAAAGTAAAGAGAAAGAAAATATTTAAAAATACTTAGAGGCCTAAAAGTCCAGCCTAGAAAGTGACAGAACATAATCCCTCATAAGCGTTTTCTGCTTTGCAGAATTTAATAAGAGCTTGAATTCATAAAACTAGGATCAAATATGAGGATAAACAAAATGAAAAGGAAAACGTGGAGCTGAGAAAACAAATTAAGAACAAACATTATTACTGAATAATAATTAGTTTACATTTACTTAATGAATAAAATAGACCAATAAATAAAATAAGAATAAAATAAGTTAATAAGAAGTAGCAAGGAATTCTAATAAATAAATTAGAAGTAGCAAGGAAGTGAGCTGCACAGCTGAAAATCAAATTCTTGACCCAGAAGAAAAGCTTGAGATAATCACAGGTAAATGGAAAAAAAAAAAAAAAACAAAACAAAACAAAGAGATTTTAATGTTTAAGGGAAAGATAATAAATATGAAATACTATGATGAGCTATCATAAGGAAATTGTGTTCTTGAAGTAGAACCTAATAAATGGAAGAGAGTCCAAAGATAAACAATTAAATCTTCAGATATTCTAGAGACTATTGATACAGTATGTTTGACATTCAGACATATTCTAGTAAAGTTTTCGAACTTGTCTAATTCTTGATCATTCATGAGATCTTAGCTCAAATAACACTTCTTCATGGGAAGCTTTCCCTGACGTTTTAGGCCAACCCGATCTCTTTTATATACTCTCAGAGCACTCTTTTTTTTTTTTTTTGTCACAGTGACTAGCTCTGTGTTGTTACATGCATGTGGTTATTGACTGTCTTTCTTCCTTACTAGACTGAAAACTGTATGAGATCAGAGAGTATCTGTTTTATTAAGTAATGTTTATCCAGTGTCTAGCTCAGTCCTGCATATAATATGTGCCTCATAGATTCTTGTTTAATAAATAGGGAATGAATGAATATTATTTAATTACTGTAGTTTTAGAAAATATTTTATTACTTTGATAAACCTAGACCCTCTGTATTACTCTTTTCATAAATGAAGTGACATGCCTAAATGGACATTTCATAATAAAAATTAGGTCCATGTGAATGAGACTATTAAATTATCATGTTATAATTTTATAAATTACGTTTTGTCTGTGTTGCTTTGTTACATGAGAAAACAGTGAATTATATGTTCCTCACTAATATATTTGTTTTTCTTTCCTTTCTTGAAACCTGCTAAGTTTGGAAGACTGGTTGACCTGTGTCATCCTATTCATAAGAAATACCAGCTGGCTGTTACTAAGCTTCTTGACCAGTACATGTTTGCCATTGTTGTAGCCTCTGAAAAAGTAGCAAAAGATTGTATTCGATTTCTGAAGGAGGAAAGAGCTGAACCTGAGACATTCCTTGCTCTAGATTACCTGGAGGTAAGAAATTTGTAATGTTTGGTATTTAGTAGTGATAAAAACTTGCCTGTTATATAGTATGTCTTTATTGCCTAAAACTATGGTAGTGACTGAAAAAAATCGTTGCCAATTAGCCCGTCATTTGAATGGCTGTGTTAATGTAGTGGCAGGCAAGGAATAATATCAAGTAGCTGCTATCTTTCTTGATATCACATCATTTTTTTCCTAATCTGGTTTTGCCATAATTCTATCTTGGTGACTCTGGTGCCATTTCTCTAGCAGTACACCACTTGGCATACTAGCCAGCATTATATTTTGCTCTGTAGCAAAATACAAACGCTCCTCAACTTGACCATTGCTTTATGTCACGGTAAACCCATCGTAAGTTGAGAATATCATCCGTTGAAAATGCATTTAATACACCCAACCTACCGAACCTCATAGCTTAGCAACACAGTGCGCTGCAGGGTATCGGCTGTTTACTCTTGATCATGTGGCTGGCTGAGAGCTGTGGTTTCCTGCCATTGCCAACATCACAAGAGAGTACCATACCACATACCACTAGGCCAGGGAAGGATTGAAATTCAAAATTTGAAGTACGGTTTCTACTGAATGTATATCATTTTCACACCATCGTAAAGTCAAAAAAATCATAACTTGAACCATCATAAGTTAGGGACCATCTAGATAGGAGATTGATAAGATGTATGGTCTGTGGGCGAAATGTCAACTCAGTCTCTGTTGTGAATATATGGTCCATTGTGTCAACTCTTTTTGGGGCAGGCTAAATTTTGAGCCTTGAGTTATGTGTTGATATATGTTCCCATATCCAGAATTTAAATTCCTGCAGCAGGAACTCTATCATATCATAATTGATATTGTTTGTGATTTTTTATTGCCTACCAAAGATAATGTTCTATTTGATCCGGCAGTCCAGACCCTGAACTGCAGGCAGTGTGCATAGTGGTTAACAGCACATGCCTTGGAGTTGGAGTGCCCTGAGTTTGAGTCTCAGTCCTACGTCTAATTTGCTCTCACTAATTTGTTCATAATTTTTCTGGGCTTCAGTTTCTTCATCTATGAACTAGAAGAATTAATTCTTACCTTATTGGATTATTGCAAGGAATCATTACAGGTAAACCACCTGGCACACTGCCTGCACAGAGGAGGGGCTCAGCAAATGCCAGCTGCCCATTGTACTAATACACTTTTGCTTATACCGTTTGCCTCCTAAAACTTCTTAGCCCTAATTCATCTTCCTATTAAAATCCTGTTCTACTTATTCCCCACTTGACAAGTTTTTCAAGGCAAACTCATTTTTAAAAACGTCTCATAAAGAAGTATATCAAATATAAAGGGAATACTCATCCCTTTTCAGTCTCCAGTTCCTTAATAGTAACTACTTTAGATTGCTCCCATACACTTCAATTTATATAAATATATATTCGCAGGTGTATATACTCGTCTGTACGTGTGTATATATATATAACACAGGCACACATATACACATTTCGGTTGTATGTGTATTTGCTTTGTTTTGCTTCGTTTCACAAAAGTGAGATCTTACTTGCAGGTTTTCCTTATTACATTGCAGGCACTTTTTTGATCTGTTTGTAGATCTAACCTAAGAGTCATGTCTAAGAAGGTCTGAAGCCTTTCCTGATCATTTATTCCTAAAGTGTTTTTTAAGTGCCCTAGTGTCGTACCGCTCTTTTGACACATATCTAAAAGGATATTATTTTCCCCTACATTTCATGGTCTTGAGAGCATGGAGCACTTCTCATGCATTGTTTTCTCCCACATAACTAGTAACAGCGTTGAATTTTTCACCCACATAACTAGTAACAGAGTTGAATATGGACATTAAATCGTCTGGGTTTTGATGAAGTTTATCTTTAATGTTAATGAGCCAATGGTGGGATATAGTTCATCATGTTCATGTCATACTTTTATTATGTGTAAGTGCACACTATTCATTTCCTGTCACGCCTGTATGTGTTTGGTGAGAAAGAACGTAATGAGCAGTTGGTTTATATATTAGTATATCTAGTATATGAAGTATTTTTTAATCCTTTTAGATCAAGCCAATCAATGAAAGATTAAGGGAGATTAAAGGCTGTAAAATGGCGATTGATGTCATAAAGACTCAGTTTCCACAGCTCAAGAAAGTGATTGAATTTGTGTGTGGAAATGGCCTTGTCTGTGAGACTGTGGAAGAAGCCAGGAGTGTTGCGTTCGATGGACCTGAAAGACGGAAAGTAAGAAAAGATTTGTACTGGTTGCACTTTTGGATAAATTGAAGCAGTATTTATAAGACTCATATATTACACAAACAAATATTTATATGTGCTTCCATATGTTCTCTTTTATCAGGAATCTAACATGGGACCTAAGATGGTTATGGCTTCATTACTTTTTATAATGTTTAGTTGAGTTTTTTAAAATTTGACCTCTGTAGCGGTCCTCAACATCATAAATTATATTTTGGAAAATAGATTTATTGTAATTATACCCTAAAGAAGTTTTTTTTTTTTTGTACTTTATATGGAATAAATATCCTTATGATCCTCAGATTTTCCCTGCCCTTACCTACATGGTACATGTATTTTTGTATACCAGGAAAGATTTTAGGTGCTTATTTTCATTCTGAGTTAATTCTTCTATTGCTTAATGGAGATACCGCCTTTTACACATTGAAGGTTTAACACATTTGAATTTAATGAAAGCACAATTGAAATGAGATAACTGAATACCAAGGGAATAATTTTGGTTTTTAAAATAAATATTGTTTCACTCTCAGTTGAATAGAGTTTGTATTTAGTTGAGTGATGTTAAATTCCTGAAATTATCTCTCTCTCTCTCTCCTTTTTTTTTTAAAGGTACATTTGTGATGAACTATAACAGTGTTAAGGGCATAAGCTCTGAATAAGACCAGTGATTCTACTTAGCAATTAATTATGTGACTTAGGCAACTTTCTAAACCTCTAATTTTTGTTTTCTCATCTAAATTGGTGAAATGATATTGCCTCTTTCCTGTGGTTATGAGGATTAAGTTAAGTAATAACATGCAAAATGCTATTATAGTGCCTGGAAAATAACTCTCAGATGATAGTCGTTTTACTGTTTACTAGTCAGTTAACACATTTAATCTGGAATGTCCAGAATTGCAAACAGGCTATTCTTATGAGATGTAAGTATTTCCAGTATTAAATTTAGTGACTTATGTAACATGATTAACTTCTCATACGTTCGGTGCTGCCATCTATAATAATGTTAATAAGGATGAGATTACTGTCTTTTAGTAATTACTGTCATTGATTTCTACATATCAAATGTAAGCAAGTGTAATAATTGAGCTATTAAGGTGTCTTCCTTATTTTGCTACCTCGTTAACTAAAATTGACCTGTATATGTGTAAAATTGACTTTTGAAGATTTGTCTGGTAAATTTAGAGAAGTCACATAAGGAAAAGACTGTTTATTCCTTTACTCAGTAGATATTTATGATTTGTAACTTGTTCACAATAACAAGCTTTACCCTGTAGGTTGTATCTTGTTCTCATCAGTATTTCAAAATTTTAATGTTTATTTGTCTAATTTGTATCTTAACTGTATTCCAGGAACTTTTAGAGAATTTTCTGTGTTTTAGATTGGGTACAACAATTGGATAGATGTCACATTTGCACAGAAATCATCTGATGTCTGCAATTTGTGTTTTTGGTTTTCCATAAACTTGAAGTTACGTTTTAGAATTTTCTTTATTCAAACATTGCAAGTGATATCACAAAATATTCTGGTTTATACATAAACTATAGTATATATAATCTATATACATAACTACAAACTACATAAGTTAACAGCAATTCTGCTAGCTATAGTTTTGTTACCGTATTTTTGTAATAATTCAATTTTTAAATAATTCAAAAACTATGTACTAAAATTTCAGAAACTAGAATCTCTTTACATATATTGAATTATTCCATTCACCCCCCTTAAACAGAGTCACAACAGTTATTTGCTTCCTTCTCCCATAGACTGGTTGTTTTTAAAAAATATATATAGAAAGATCTATTTATATTTTGCCCTTTTAACATGATGGAGCAAAAAAATGTCATTATATAGCTGAATGATTTGTGAAAAGATCATTTTTAAAAATTTGCACACATTGTACAAGAGTGAATAAAAGTACCGGGTACCACTTGAACGAGTACCATCGGGAATAAAATATACTTGAATTTAATCCTCATAACCTATATCAGAATAAGTTCTGGATGGATTAGAAACGTAAATGTGAAAAATGAAACCGTAAATGTTTTAAGAGAAACCATGGAAAATTTTTCTTAATCCCAGAGGCAGCAATGCCTTTACAATATGACAAAAAACCCAAAAGCTATGAAAGATGGATAAATTCACCTAACATAAAGAATTCCTACATGGCAAAAACTACCATGAGCAAAGTAAAAAAGAAAATGGCGAGCTGGGGGAAATATTTGCAACTCATGGGAAAGAACAAATTTTCCTGCAAATCAAGGGAAAAGAACAGTAATACAGTGGGAAAATGTACAAAGGATATGAACAAACTTGTTTTCATAAAAGGAATTATAATAGCTCTTAATCATGAAAACTTAACCTCACCTGTAAGATGGGAAATACCCCTTAAAACTACACAGAGGTTCTGTTTTCACCTGTCAGACCACCCAGCATCAGAAGGTTGCCCAGCATCAGAAAGTGTGACGACATTCTGTGGGAAGGAGGCCTTTCCCTCACGCTGAGAGTATAAGTTTCTAACTGTTCTGTACAGGAGAATTCCTAAAAGTTGTACCTTCTAGCAACTTCACATATAGATCATTTTCACTGTATGAAATGATGTGTGCACAAGGTTTATCCATTGATTGATTGTGTGCAATAGGAAAAGTTGGGACCAACCCAGATACCTATACAAGACTAGTTCAGTAAAATTAGAATACATTCATAGAATGCAGTACTATGCAGCCTTAAAAAAACATGAAGCTCTTGATGTATGTCCAAGTATGAGACAATCTCCAAGGTGTGTTCAGTTATAAAAACAATAAGTAGACAATTTGTGTAAAAATAGGGAAGAAATTTATGCATGTAATTGTTTCTATATGCAAAAATATTTCTGGGAGAATACTCAAGAAAATGACAGCATTAATTATGTTTAGGAATGGGAGTGGTTTTTGGGGCCAGGAATGGCAGGGACATTTTTCATTCTACTTTTTCATATCTTTTTTATATTTTGTGAATATCTTACCCATTCAGAAATAAAAGGTTAAAGGATATTATTTTTTATACAAATAAAAGAGTACTTAAAAATACACTATACTTTGCATAACACAAAAATTATAGGAGAATCTACTTCAACATCCTATAACACTGGAACAAGATTTCTTGAAAGAATTGAAGTTGGTTCAGGAAATGGTTGGTTATCCTACAGAACAAGTTTTTAATGCCAAAGAATTCATTCTTTTTGCAGGCCCATGCCCTCTGAACTTTTATGTGATGCTATTTAAAAATTTCCTCAACTCCTTATTTTATGTGAGATCCGGTTGTGCCAGCCAAGGTATTTTTCAGAATGTAACCCCCAAGGTAGGCAGGGATTACGGCACTGAGCAACTCTTATGAGCTATACGTGAAGGAAATTGCAGTCTGGGGGGAAATTGTTTTTCTGGAATAGCAGTTTGAGTGTAAGTCAAATGAAAGAAGGTTACATGAGAGTACATTGACATTTAGCAGAAATAACTTATTGTGTACCTAAAAACTACTGAAAACTCCTAAGTTTCGTGATTCTTTGTATTGTCGCCTACTACATGTTTA